TTCAAGGCTTTGGTCATACAAAACAAAAACGTAATTGTTTTTTTAATTTTACTAACTACAACTGTTTTTTTTTCAATGCCATCTTCTATATATGTATATATAAAAATGGATTGCTGTTCCTTAGTCTCGCTAAAACTCGAGAACGCCTGAACCGATTTGGCTAATTTTAGTCTTGAAATACTCTTAGAAGTCCAGGGAAGGTTTAAAAGGTGAGAAAAATTGGAATTATTGCCGGGAAAACCATAAAAACAGCCCTTTTGTATTTCCCATACAAACGATTTTTTGATATTAGACTTGACAACTAACTAATATGTGAATCATTCTGTTCGATTGAAACAGTAGAAATTTAATAGATACCAATACCGGGTTATTGAAGACGGAATAGAGTTTGCCCGGTCAGCTATCCATATATTACTAATAACGAAATTAACGCGGACGAAGTCGCGGGCAAAAACTAGTACCTAAATAATAAAGCAGGTTAGAAATAGTTTTTTTACTGTATTTTTTCTTATCGACCCGATTAAAAGACAGTTTAAATTGAAAACCAATCAAATCACCTGAATTTTAAAAGACTCGCTTTCCTAGTGATAAGTTTGGTCATATATATATATATATTTTCTATATAACGACTTTATTGAAATAATAATATTCATTAATGATTTCTGTGCCACAAGTCAGTGTGTGTTGTTAACGAGCCGTAGTTTAGCGATGACTTGTCCCGTGACTGAACATTAGTCTGAATTAAAACACTGTAAGGACGTTTTCATTTGCATCGAGCTGTCTGTGACGGCGTCTAGTCGCTCATCAACGAGAGCGATTAATTTATACGACACAATATACAGGAGGAAGCGATTAATAGGAAATATTACAAAGTACCAGGAGTTCATAGATTGTGAAGAGATTAAAATCTACAAGAGGTTACCAAGCTTTTTAAGTTATTTTGTTTTGTTAAGAGTGTATGGTCTACAATCATTCATCCATAGTTAAAATTATGACATATATTTAATAGTTCATGTTCTAATTTTTTTAAATTTCTTATCTATTGCCAGTGTCAATATAATATATCGTTTCTCGTCTCCTGGACCACTGGCTTATCATTAGCGAGTCCGGCCGGATGGTCGCAGTCTCACACCTATTTAAACTTCCTCTTATGTCTGTCTGGGCTCCTGGTACTCTATTCTTACACATTATAATGATCATTATAAACTTTGTCTAGAAGGATCTTTACATAAACTTATCTAATTGGCTAAACCTAAATATTGGCTGAATATAAAAAAAAATTACGTGAAATCGACTAAAAAGGTTAAGGTTTACTATAATTATATGTCATTAACTTTTACATATCAATATCAATGCTTTTATATCGAGATGGACAGACAGATTACAGAATACGTACCTATATCGGGTAAAGTAAAGTAACAGAGCTTAACACAGGATCGATACACCTGCGTTGCCACGCGACGGCCGAGGGCGCCACCCGACACCCCCGCGTAATTTGAAATTCGAACCGCGCCGATAATGTCTGTTCACTGTTGCCAGTCGACTCCCGCCTCAAATTAAACATCATTTTAGGGATGCGCTTTAATGTATGCCTATTACCTATAATTGCTATCTATAGCCATTTTTTATATATATTTTTCTTAGAATAATTGCCAAGAATAGGTTAATATAAATCACTCCATTTAAACACGACATGAGCGCAATAAGTCTTCATATTATTAATTTGCATAATAAAAACTGTTGCAATACAATGCATTACAATATTAAATGATGTCATATATTGTATTAATTAGCCGGGAAGTGTTCTAGACACGCAGTTGTAAATAATATCATTAATTGATGTCCCAATATGTTATATATTTTACCTACACACTAACAGGCTTTTCAATTGACCATAAATGTCATTCAATTGTACAGAGTAACTAGCACTTAGAGGTTACATTACTTGTATGTACGAATCTGTGTTTAGATTACACTATCATTGATTTTTCATTAACAATCACATCTGGTCTAATAAGATAATTATTATCAAGAATGTCATAAATGTTATTGCTATGAATTATATTGAGCTCATTATAAATAATCGTTTGTCTAAAATTTTAAGATCTTTGTACTTTATAAGGTATAAGTACGTATATCCTATGTACATATTTCCTCAATAGTTAAATAATGTTCTTACCAAAACTATAATCCATACATTGATAATGAATCTGTAATGTAAACAAGTGGTATTAATGTAAACATCTCTACATGAATGTAATCTGTCCTAAACGCGTCAAATATTCTAGTATCCGTTGTAACGCTGTGTTTAATTGCAGACTGCGCCACTGAGCTCAATTAATACATACAGAATTACAAAGCAGTAAGTATTCAATATAATAAAAAGATCTACATAAATCTTATACCAATAATAACCGGTATATTTTGTCGGTTTTTCAGCGTTTTTTAAATGTCAAAAGTTCAAGCACTATGAATTTTTGTTCTTTAAGATGTCAGTATTGCACAGATAATTATTACGAAAAAAATCGTTTAGCATTAATTATTCAGCCGATATAAAAGAATATATTTACCTAGAGAAAAAAAAAACAAAATTTAATTACTTATTAATGAATTATATAATGAAATATGAATTTGAATAATCTCGCTATTACGATGTCCGTTAAATAGTTTATTAATGACATTGAAAGTATATGTTTTTTGTAACACGTACACGATAAATCGGAATAGTATCTTATAGATAACCCAATTTTCATTAAAGTTTATCATTCGTTATCATATAATTATTAATTACAAATATATATTAAATAAATTATATTTATGTTTGTATATTCAAACTTTAAGAAACTTAGGTAAAGACAGGTGAAGAACTAATGCTTTTTATATGTATATCAATATAAATTAAGAATAATCATAAAAAATTTAGTACAAGTTTTAAATGTCATTATGCATATAATGTAAAAATTTAAATTATTTGATGAAAAACAGAAAACTACCCGTATGTAGTAATTGAAACTTCTAGTAAGCATACTATTACGTAACTGACAGAATGAAAGTCAATGTGTGTCATTGATGTCTTTGTATCATCGTGTATGAATGGATTACTTTGAAACTGACAGTATTATAGTAAAATTATGAAATTACTCGTACTAAACATATATATATAGGGCCCGGATTAATATGTAAAAACATAGTTTAATTTACGCGATTTTCAGTCTAGAATGTGTTTTTTACATGGATTGTCATATTTAGACTGTGAAAAACCAACTTTTATTTTCCATATTTTTCCAAATTTCAAAGTTAAGTCCATATTTTACAAGAAAATGTCACAATCATCCATATATTCACAGAAATAAATAAAATTTACGTTTGAATGTTTTATTTTAATATGACTCTAAAAAGAGATTGTTCCTTTATATCGATATTAAATTGTATTTTAGTTTCGGATAAATATGTTATCTTATCGGCTTCCATTACCGATATGTGTATGTTTGTTCAATGAAGCAGTGTTGTAACTAAGAGACAGATAAACAGACGTACAAATATATATTAATAATATTAAGATTTGTATAGTAATCATCATGTTTGGTTATAAATATCTTACGGGGAAACATTTGAAAGGATTTGACAAATACAAGGTACTTTTATAATGAAAATTATTTATTTTATATTTAGTTACTTTGTATATAAGAAAGTCAGTGGTGGCCTAGTGGTTAAAAGGCCCGCCTGTCATGCACGAGGGCGCGGGTTCGATCCTGGTCTTGGCAAGTACCAATGTGATTTTTCCGAGTCACGTGTACTTTCTAAGAGTATTTAGACATCACTGATTATTGCATTCCCAAAGAGGGTTGATGTCAGGCAGGTGGCCGTAAAAATATGTCAAAATAAATCACAATATACAATTAGTCAAAACTATTCACAACGTGTAAGGCAGATTCTGGCTATAGCTGGGAAATTGCCAGGTAGAAAAAAAAACTTTATACATAAGAAGACTAAGTAATTTATTCTGTTGATGAATCTGAGATAATTAGTAAGCGTACATACTACAAGTTTCTTTTCAATAATCTATTTTAATACTATAATATGCACATAAATGAAAAAGTGTTTTTCCATATGTAGCGTGATCGAAGTATACTTAATTATCACTAGTTGAATTTGTCATGTTTTTATTATAAACTCAAGCTATCAGTGAAAAAACTGAAAACTATAAGTATTTTGTTTAACGATGAGAACTTCTACTAAGCATATCAAAGGACTATTAAAATATAATATTATTATTAACCATTCATTTTTGCATCTTCGTGATTAAATTTTATGATTGTCTAATATGATTATATGTCTTTCGATATAAAGAACTGCTGTACAAATACATTAATAACGTTTAATTAAAATCAGATAATATAATATAAATATGTAATAAAATCAAAAGTATATATAATTATAGTGTTTTTAACAAATTCATATAGTGGGTAGATAAATAATGTTTATGACAGTTGTCAGTCTACTTGGAAGCAGTAAATTGTGTACCACAATTTCAATGTTTTATTTCATTATTAATCTTCTATATATATATATAAAAATGGATTGCTGTTCCTTAGTCTCGCTAAAACTGGAGAACGGCTGAGCCGATTTGGCTTATTTTAGTCTTGAAATACTTCTGGAAGTCCAGGGAAGTTTTAAAAGGTGAGAAAAATTACCGGGAAAACCCTAAAAACAGCCCTTTTCTATTTCCCATACAAACGATTTTGTGACATTAGACTTGACATCTAACTAATATGTCAATCATTCTGTTCGATTGAAACAGTAGAAATTTAATAAATACCAATACCGGGTTATTGAAGACGGAATAGAGTTTGCCCGGTCAGCTAGGTATACCTACATATGTTACTAATGACGAAATTAACGCGGACGAAGTCGCGGGCAAAAACTAGTCATAAATATAATAATAATGTTTAAAGGCGTTATAAAGAATTAAGTACTGAATATATACCTAATTGTTTCAGTACAGCGCCATAGACACCAGTCCTCTCAGCAGATATGTGATGCATCCGTCATGGAACTTCATGGTGAAGGTATGATATGATAATGATATGACAATGATAATTCATTTATAAGCAAACCAGTAATAAATAGAAATGTTTTTGTGACGTCATTTTTAATTTCCATTATATTTCGTTTAAAATAATTCTGATAAAGGAAAGACATAGTGCAAACATAGTTTTATTTTAATGAAAATCTTAGAAATCATTACAATAGTAATAGTTTTTTTTTTGTTTTTTGTTTTCTTACATTATTAATACATATTATGTAATATTGACAACACACATTTTATATATAAATCCCCAGTAGGTATACATATTTCGTTTTAAGAAGCATTGTTATTAAAGTATTGTACATTTTTATTGATTAAATTGTGATGAATTTGTTAGATTTAAAGAATATTTATTTCTTATCAAAAACATAAAAATACATGAGAAATTAATAAATCAAAAAAATATGTGGGTAAAATACAAAAGTTTTCAGCAGTTGACATGTACATAGTAAATAAATTATTTTGTGTATATTTACAAGGTTAATACTTACAATATATATTTTTTTATTTAAATTATTACTTATTCTTATCACATATGTACAAATTATTCATCTATTTTCATAATATAAATTTTCATTGCTTGAATCTTTCAGTTCATTCCAAAATGGATAGCTCCAAATCTTCTGACATTTTCTGGCTTCCTCTGTATGTTGTTGTGTGTTTTAATGCTGCTGGTCTATGATTACGACTGCACTGCATCTGGAAAACCAGGAGATGGAAGGAAAGATGAATACAGCATACCGAATGTAGTGTTCATTATGTGCGGAATACTTGTGTTCATGGCGTATAATCTAGGTGAGATTGAACTATGAGATATATCTTAAGAATTAAAATCTATGAACTAATTAAATATTAAAGAAAGTAATCACTTTAAAATCTACTAAAAGATTTGGGCCTGTCCAGAATTAATATCGATTCATTCTTGGAACGTACTTCGAAGGCAGCCCTAGTAGGTTAGATAAAAATTTGGTATAGAGAGGAGCTTGGACAGTGGAGGTGATCGTTTAACGCGCCTTACATAGGAGTCCCTTAAACCTACACCTGGGTCACAAGTCCCAGTCACTGTTGAAGCTGCTCTCTCTACAACGATGGACCCGACACACGCACGGTCAATATTTGTCAATTTGTCAATATTTCATTCAATGGAATGATGATATGTTTTGTGTCATGAATTAATATTTATTCCGTCTTTTTTATAATATAATAGATCTTAAAATTTCCTAAAATTTCTTCCAGCATTTTCATAGTGACAGAAACTAATTGCTCCATAGTCTGTTTGTTGATATTATTTTCGCATTTATAATATAATTTTCAATCTGCGGGTGTATTCAAAGCTCGGAGGCTGCGGTCGATGATTCATCTCAATAATTCCTATCAATCAATCATTGATTCATTCCGTATTATATTACAACTCAGCGTACTTCTATAATCTATTGTTATAACGAATATATAATGACATTAAATATAATGGTTCATTCGATCAAAACAATAAGTTTTAATAGTATAACCTATTAAAATTGGACGGGTAGTAGGTTTGAGTTCTTCCCGTTATGATAGTTTTTTTATTATGTATCACGTATTAAACTTTAAACCTTATAATAATGCTAATAACGAATAATTTGTTTTACAACCAGCTTATTTATTTGAAGGAACTATAATTAGTAATAATTTTAATTTCCTTATTCAATTTCGATGTTAAGTAAATCTTTATTTACCGTCGGTATATTAGTAGTTACTTTATTAAGTTCAACATTTTCTCTTTATATGAAAGATTGCCTACATAATGAGCAGTAGTCACCGTCGCCTATGGACATCCACAACATCTCTGTTGCGGATGTCTTGTCAACCTTTGTTTTTGAGGAATAGGGAAGGGTGGGAATAATGGAATGTCAAGAAAAGTTGCGAATAGGGAAAGGGCAACCGGCTTTCTCACTCATCGGATAAAACGTAGCATTTAAAGACTACTACGACTATCTTCTGTAAGATTGTGGTAATTCCCCGGTCGAACCAGCCCATGTTCGAGCTGTTATAATATAGGCTCTACTTCCTACCTTAATATTTGTTACTAAAGATCTTATAAGAGATATATATGTTAATATTTTTATATAGATGGTCTGGACGGTAAGCAGGCTCGTCGTATCGGAGTCTCCGGGCCTCTAGGCGAGCTGTTCGACCACGGTCTAGACTCGTACATCGTGTTCCTCATACCATACTGTTTATTCTCAGTCTTTGGAAGAGATCAGTACTCTATAACTGTCTTCAGGTAACTATAGTATATAAACCAATCTCAACTTGATTATCATTAAATCTTAATATAAAATAAAGTCGTGTATTATTATTTATAACTCAAAATCGGTTTTACGGGTTATGATGAAAATTGGTGGAGAGATTGCTATATCCAGGAAAAAAAATTAGAATATTTTTCATGCAATCGAAAAAAATATATAAAATCTGAAATCTTATTTACTGCCTATAAGACGAATAGAGTTCGCCCGGTCAGCTATCCGTACATCTAATCTTGAAAGTAACGCAAACGAAGTTGCGAGTAAAAGCTAGTACTAATATCAGCTAAACTTAACCAGTCAATTAAAAATTTATAATATAGATTAAGAGTAATCTTTTAAATGCCTTTAATACTGTATATAATTACAATATTAAGATTGTACACACCTAAAGATAAGCTACATGTATTTGAAAAAAAGAAAGGATTTATATATAATTAATATATTTCAGAGGCTACCTCATCATATTAAGTATTGTTCTTAATTTCTACGTGAGTCACTGGGAGAAGTACAACACAGGAACATTGTACCTGCCGTGGGGCTACGATCTTAGTATGTGGGTACGATGTTTGATAGTATTTAACAAAACTATAAAGTATTTGTTTTATAATATGCTATAAGTTATTGAATTTGTTTAAATATTAAATTACTATTGCACTAAAAGAAGGAATACTGATTAGGTATTAACTTAAAACTAGGAATAGATACTTAAAATTAATCTTCTATTAAGATTTGATCGTTACAAATGAAGAAAATATTTTAGTATGACATAATATTAAAATTGTAATTGCTTTCAAAATCCATTTTCTATGAATTATAACTTAAGATATCAACTTCTTTATATTTATAAAGAGACATTCGTTTGAATAAGTTACAAACATAACAAAATTTAGATATCTAGTATATAAAAAAAAATCATAAAAGTAGTTATACAATTTATAATCAGCAATATATTTAATATGAGAAAACTTGGTGAATTCATCGGTAATGTTTGAATAATCACATAGATACTTATAGCATCTGTCACTTTAGCACAAGTTAGTATAACCAAAATAAAAGTTGATAAACATATGAAGAGTGATGGAAAACTATAAACTTTTTATATCGATAGAAATCACATAATATTTTTTTATCAAACACTAGTTCTATTATCCTAACATTGTATATTTCTTCGTCGTTTTATCGATAAAACTCACCTAATATCAACGATTACTTATAAGGAGTTAATGTTAATTTCTGTCCAGGTATCAACGATTCTGTTCCTACAAGCTGGTCTCCAAGGTCCCGTTATCTTCAAGACCTTCATCTTCAGTAATGTGACATTCGTACAAGCCCTGGAGATAGCTATACACGCCACCGGTCTATTCACTACGCTACCGGTCGCTGTTTATAATGTTATCTTGTAAGTTTAAAATTAAACTAACCTGACTTTAATCCGTTAAAATAATTTATGGTTAATGGTTAAAATTAACTGCGAACTGTTTTTTACTTAAGAAAAGTTATGATACTTGCGTTTTAATAGAGAAGCATGTATACAATTATCACTCGTTAAAGTTAATGCTAGAAAATAAATATCTATTTGTATTAAATTTCTATGTTAACCGAACATTTACCTAGCCTATACATCTGTTCTTATTATAAGATAAAAGGAAGAAAAATTGCATATATAATTTCATTCATCCAAATGAAATGATGATTTAAATGAAATTTGTTCACAGATCGTACAGAAATAAGTCGGGTAGGTTGTTATCACTATGGGAAGCTCTACGTCCTTTAGGTCCTATGATCATACTGACCATCACTTCCACACTTTGGGCCCTAAACACAGCTGCACTGGAACAAGACCCTCGAGCATTCCTACTGGCTTTCGGAACTATATTCAGTAATATAGCGGTACAATACTTTATATATATACAAAACCTATATATATTATATTTAAATTACTTACAAAATTAACTTAATATTATATTTTCATATTAATATACAGTATGTTGTAGTAATAACAAAATATGGTATGATTGTAAAATGTCCAATAATGGAATTGGATTCCAATACATTCCAATGTATTCCAATATATTCCAATGTATTCCAGAGCCGTCTCATCGTGTCGGAGATGAGTGGTCAGAGATGCGACGGTGTTAGTTTGCTGAATATTCCACTAGTATTAGTGGTAGTAGTGTCTTCCTATGTCCCACATTTGACGCTACCACTCATGTACTTGCTGTTAATAGTTGTTACAACCGCTCATGTACATTACGGTGTTTGTGTGGTAATTATCATATTCTTATTATTATTATAATTTCTTTTAAAATGCATACAAAATCTATTTTATACTTATAGAGAATTTTTGTTCCAGGTCCGTCAGATGTGCGATCACTTTAAAATTAAGTGCTTCTCTGTGCCGAGAGATAGAATTAAATAATTATTATTATTTCTATGAATATATAGTATATTTATAATTATTTTATATATTAACAACCTGATTCCCGAATCCATCTTCATCAGGTAGGAACCAAATACGACACCATACAATATAATTCACTAAATAATAAGTAATTCAATACAATAGCAAAAAATGAGCAGCTCTATTGAGTGAGATGTTCCGTGTGTATGGGTGCGAGCGAGACGGATGTATGACACCCGCAGTCTGCCAGCTCCGTCTTTAAATTATACGTTCTCATAGCCTTGTATCAAAACGGGTAGTTGGAGAAATGACTGAACGCGTACATCTATCTATTGCAATATCAACTCTATTTTTATTATAAATAAGGTTGATTTTTGTATGTAAGTATAAGGCTGATGAGTTATTTAGTCAGCCATAAGAAATTCAGTAATGGGGGGTGCTGGACATGGAAACCGAACTCAGGGTTTAGAATTTCAGTTCAGCTTCGGATGCGGAGCGCTTTGTCCGGGATATTGTTGAGGCGTTTTGTTTTTTTGTTTGTTTGTTTCGTATCGTATATCGTTTGCTGTGTCGGGTAAGTCCAAGTGTTGTCGCATGTCGCATGGAGAATATTATATAGATTTACCTGAATGAGATGTACATCTCTAAGGTAATGACTTGATATGTGGTGCTGTGTTTGGACTGTACATAGGATATTGGTTGTGAGATTTATAATATAGTGTTCATACACGTGATTATTATATAAAAAATATATTAATTTATTAATAAAAAACGGTAATGTAATATAGGTTTAAGTTACGCGCAACTCAAGATTGGATTAAAGTTTGAAACGAAACTAAGATATAACTGAGAATAGTAAATACGGTGATAAATAAGATTATATAAAAAAGATCTATGAAAAAACTGTATTAGAAAAATAATAATTAAACTAAAATTTACAAAAAATTGAAAACTAACTAAGAAATTATGCGATGTAGAGTAAAAAGTAATTTAACATTATTTTTATAAGATAACGCTTATATAACTCTATGAGAAAAAATAGAAAAAGATTGAAAAGATATAAATTATATAAAGAAACATTAAAACCATTAAACATTATATATATGTATATCAAAAATGTTCCAATACTGATATAATGTTATCAAATAATATTAATAACTTGAAATTACAATTTTTTTATAACAAAACACCGTCGCGTCGGGAAAAACTAAACTTACGGGCTATTAAAAAAGCACAAAGTAAAAAGAAAATAATCAAATGTATAATAAGATTTAAAATATATTAATTTCTAAGAAATAACTATTTCAAATATTCTAAAACATTTTGAATATTTTCTCCTCTGTATTTGAAAGTACAATATATTTCTATTTACATTATACAGAATCTCTATCAGTCATAGATCGCGTCTAGGTTTCACGAGATATCTAGATACTAGATTTGATTTACAATCTACATCTATATCTACATCTATATCTATATCTATAGCTGAACGTCCGTACGGTTTTGTTTATGAATCCACGTTTAATGTTTTAATTTTTACTGTTTAATGAAACAGTTTCCAAAATATCACATTATTTTACAAACATGTGTACCATCTATAAAATAATCATTCGTTTTCAATTATTATATATTAGCATACTATATGTTTATATAAATATATATTTATATATATTATTATGTTTTCCTGAAAAATATCAATTAATTTCCATGCTTACTCTATTGAATAAATAGCAACGGTAATTTAGAAGTATAGACAGACAGATCTCAGCCAAGCCATTATTATTACATAATCAATACTTATTGATAGAAAAAATATGTGTACCTACTTGTACCTATAAAATTACGTTATTAAAAAAAATAGAACATTCTAGAATGTTCATGAGGATAAGTTATCACAACCTTACTACCAGTTTTACTGTTTACTTCGTACTGAAAGTTTCATAGTTTTATTCTTAACTAGCTTTCATCCTTCAGCTTCGCCCGAGTGGAGTTCGGTTATATCGCGTTTCCAAGAGAACCTTTCAAAAGTCTGGGATAAAAACTATTTTATGTTCTTTCTAAGGTCAACTCTATATCTGTACCAAATTTCATTAAAATCAGTTCAGTGGTTTAGGCGTGAAAGTGTAACAGACAGACAGACAGAGTTACTTTCGCCTTTATAATATTAGTAGGGATTCCATCTTTATCAAATGGTTAATTTATTAATATAAAACACTTTAAAGCGCGGTGTGTAAGTAGATTTTAACTCGTCCTTAGAGCTTTTCTTTAGTTTAGAATTTTTTTTAATATGAGTTAAAATAAATCATTCGGTAACTTTCTTGATAATTGAAAAATTACAAATTTAAGTCAATTTAAATCAGCCTTATAGATATTTTAAATTTAAAACCAAAATTTAGTTTAACTATATATGTATAATATATTGCATACGAAAGTTCTTCTTGTAATACCATTTAATACACTAGTTCTCTTTCTTATATTTAAAATATGAACTATACGAGAGTTTTATTTGCTAACCGTACAACCTAAAATATAATGAGAACAACGACGAGTCACAGAAATTGAATTCATTTAAACATATAATGCTTCATTTAAATGAATTTTTAAATGAATTCAAAAAAAATGTGTGTAAAAAGTTGTGTCGTTTCTTGTTAATGTTCTGCTGACGATTTATAAGTGACAGAGAAGTATTTGTGATAGGTACGATTCGTTGTTTAGAGAACATTTAAATCATAATAAATGTGACAATACTTGATGTATGTATGTATGTTACGTGGAAACTATGAAACTAGACTATATTGTAGAGTTTGGTGAAAATATAAGGAAATAAAAATTTTGAGTAGTAATTTAATAATAAAGAGAAATCATCATTCTATACGAGAAAGTAGATATGATTTTCAAATAGTAACAATATATAGGTATATGTATTATTTGTAACAACATAACAGACATGCACGTAATATTTCTTATATTTCTTTTAACTTTCTGCTTTAATCTTCCATAGAATGCAGATTGTTTCTTCATTTTTTTTTTGTTTTTTAACGAAGATAATTAAATAATTTCAAACAAATAATTATATTTATCTTATACTAATATTACAATGAAACCTTTAAAATTTCTCATACTTTTATCCAGCTCTAACTTATATACATTTTCTTTCAAATCTAAGATTATTTACGGCTTTATGTGACAAAACCATCTTATATCTTTGTATGGAAAAAAATAATATTTAACTATAAGTATATATATGGAAGTATATAAGTACATATGTGTTTATATCGTATACATAATAATACATCCTAATATTATAAATGCGAAAGTAACTCTGTCTATCTGTTACGCTTTCACGCCTAAACCACTGAACTGATTTTAAAGAAATTTGGTACAGAGATAGAGTTGACCTTGAGAAAGGACATAGGATAGTTTTTATATCAGACTTTTGAAAGGTTCTCTTGGAAACGCGATATAACCGAGCTCCACGCCAGCGAAGCCGCGGGTGGAAAGCTAGTATAAAATAATTAGATCTAAGATTTTCGCGAGTAAGTACTCATTTAAATTAAACTAATATTTGCGGATTGACTACGATATTTTATTTTTGACTGTAAACTCACATCTCGTCTGCCCGTGATCACGGTTGCTGTAAAGTAACCGAAACGTCGGGAGTATGTAGTTTATAATCAAAAACAAAAAATCGCCTGGTAAATCCGAAAATAATAGTTTCACATATGTAGTTCTTCTTTATTTCTAATATATTCTTATTTTTTATCCTGAAAGTATCTATATATAGATAAAGTAGCTATTTCCTATCTTCATATCAAGGACATCTTATGTAAGCCGATCTCATCTGATTATAAATATAATAGATACATTTAAATTAAACTACATTTTGTATTCTATATTTTATATTAAATCCGACGATTTAAATTTTTCATTGATTGTTGATGTTATCAACATAATATATAATATAAAATATTTTAAATCAATATTTGTTAAGTTACCGAAATTCTTGAATCAAATATATTTAAATCTTAATATTAAATCTATGCTTTTATTTAAAGTTTCATGACAGTATGTGCAGCATTTTCAATACAAAACACAGTTAATTAAGATGACGTCAAAAATATACCATACATAAAGTTAAATTAAATTACAATATTATTAAATCAAGAGTTATATATTTTTAAACATATTTATCAAGCAAAATAGTTTATGTTAAAACTAAAAATTTTGTATAAAAAAATGTTTATTTAAACGAACTATGTACATACTAAATTCGTCTCCCTTAAATTCTTTCGGAATATTATTAAATAATTCGTATATTTTTCTAACATATAGGGGAGAGTCGGATATATCGTACCACTTTTCACTTTAACTCAAATATTTCGACTATAACACGTCTTATAATAATTAATACATATGTAAAATAAAGTTTCATATTTTAGCCTCCTAAGAAGAAGAGAACAGATCCTTGCGATTATTCTAACATTGTTAAAAATGCTTTTTTATAGAGGCTTGCCATCGGTACGATTTAGCCGACTCGTCGTTTTAATCGTACCACTAAGTCTTTAAATCGTACCATGGGTGTTTAAGTCGTACCACTGAATGAAAGACATTAAAATTCTCAATCAAATTATTTATTTTTGACTGTTAGGTAAGTAATAAAACAACATTATTTATATCTTTTAGGTAATAGAAACATAATTTTTAACTTTGAGGTTATATAAAGGAACTATAAGCTTTCTCAGTAAAATAACATGATTATACTATGATAATGAGATCAATCAACATAACTAATAAAAATGAGACAAATAAAAAAACAGTAAACTATAATAATAAAGTAACAGTTAACACGAATGTTATTTGTAATATAATTATTGTGCATATTTCTTAATGGAAACAATCATTACAAATGTTTTCAAAAATTCGAAGTATACGTCTCATGTAGCCACCGTTTACAGCGAACGCATTGAATCGAATCAACTTTTGGACCCTTCTTATCATAGTAAGAACAATTGCCCTTT